TCGTCATGACAGATTCTATGAATTAAATTTGTTTTCGAACTAATACATTCATTTTTCTTCAATATAGATCTTCGGCTTTAAATATTTATCACTTAAGTAAATAGTGAAGATAATAATTACAACTCAAATGTAATATTGATAAAAAGAAACAAATTCCATGCTATATTTCTGTGTAGCATGCCTATTAAGGGAAAGTATATATCCCGAGCATAACCAATAGATAGTATTCATCCTTTTAAAGAGCTTTGTTCACTCTACTGATTTTTTTTTTTTTTTTACAATTACCGAAAAGATTAAAGGCTGCAAGCATAAAGTCGTTCTTTTCTTTCTGTTCTGAATATTTGAAATGTCACGTTGCTGTAGAATCTTGTTTTATTTTATTTTTACTCAAAAGAACACCTTTAAATCCATTTTTATATATGTAGAATAGTTTGCAAAATGGTTATTTTTTTAATTCAAAAGGATGATAGTGGAACAAACGTGAAAATTTTTTCAGTTTTTTTGGTAAACACCTAGAAAAAGCAAGAGAATAAAATGAATGGAGTAAATTGATCGTATCAATTATTTATGAGAGGCATTTTATCAATATATGGCACAGACTGCCTTTCCTAGTAATGAATTGGATTAAGTGCTTTTTTCCCCTTTGTTTATGCACATTCTATCTTTATTCTTGACAGGAAGCGATCAGAATATACACTACGTAAAAACTGGCAAAATCCATCCACAATCGAAATCGGTGGGAACCAAAACAGATCGAAATCGGTCGGAATATAAGTAAATTGGTCGCAAAATTAAAGAAAATATTTCTCACAATGGAAATAGTGGTCCCACAACAAAGATATACAAATTCCGATTGGTCAATCTTTGACCAAAACGTGGACATACTTGCATATTATCTACCAAAATAATTTTTAATTAAAATTTTTAAAATAACCGACCGAAATCGGTCGGTATATTTGAAATTATTCTTTCCCGCCCAAGGCAATTAGTTTTTTAATATAATAAAAATTATATAGCCTTGGTTATTATTGTTATGCCAATTTCCTTGGTTATTGCTTCCACTCCAATTGCCTTGATTGTTTCCACCATTCCAATTACCTTGATTTTGAGAATTTCAATCGCCTTGATTGTTTGAAGGTCTCCATTGTTGTTGACTAGGGCCTTGGAAGTTGTTTCTTTGCCCTTGAAAATTATTCACATATTGGACCTCCTCTTCTTGGTCATTGTAAGATTCATCTTGAGCAAATCCACTATCATCTTGCACAAAATTATCCACTCTTTGTTGCACTTGTGGACTTCTTGTTCTTCGCTTGTTCACCATCATATTTACTCCCTCCATTGCATTGACTTGCCTCGAGTTTTGTACTTGTTGAAGTTGAGCCTTTGCCAATTGGTTCATGGTGGTAGTCAACTCGGCTATGGCTTGTCCATGATCATGCAACTCTTTGTGAAGGTGAATCACGTTGGGGTCACTTTGTGGAACATTATCTTGAGATTGCCATGCTGAAAAAGTATCCGCCATCTCATCCAAGATATCACACGCCTCCGTATAAGGCGTAGTCATGAAGTAACCACCGGCAAGTTGATTCACTACACATTGGTTGGTTGTATTGATCCCCCGATAGAAAGTTTGTTGAATCATGTTCTCCGTCATTTCATTGTTGGGGCACTCTTTCACCATTGTTCTATATCTTTCCCATATCTCGTGTAGTGATTCATTGGGCTCTTGCTTGAATGCTATAATTTCATCCCGAAGAATAGCCATGTACCCGGGAGAGAAGTACTTAGAGATAAATTTCTCCGCTAGTTCATCCCAAGTATGCATGGAATGATTTGGAAAACGTTCCAACAAATCTAAAATATTCCCCCGTAGAGAGAAGGGAAAAAGCCTTAGCCTCAAAGCATCCTCAGAGACATTTGTTTGTTTGTTCCCCCAACATATATCTACGAACCCCTTCAAATATTTATATGCATTTTGACCCGATGCTCCGGTGAAGAACTCTCGTTGCTCGACCAAAGTGAGCATCACATTAGTTATTTAGAAGTTGCCCGCCCTAATACAGGGAGGGACTATAGCACTTGCATACCCTTCATTCGGCAACACTCGGTGTGGAGCCGTTCGTGGTGGAGGTGGAGGTGGAGCGGGTACATTGTCTTGAGGCGGTCGGCCTCGTCTATTGGCCTGAGGTTCAAGAGGGACCTCATCCATTTGATCATCCTTAATATCCACATCCCTCACGGCTATGTTTCCGAGATCGTTGTTTGCCATGATTGCACCTACAATACTCAAACGTTAGTAACAAGGAAGGAAAAGAAGATATCCGAAAAACACACCTAAATATATATATAGCTAACACCGTTTTTAGCTCCCCGGCAACGGCGCCAAAAATTAATTTCGTCCAAGTTCACTCCTGTCACGACCCAATTTCCCCTCCGTGTGACGTCGTGCACCTAGTCTCTACAACTAGGTAAGCCTAACATTTTACGGAATAATGAAATAAAAATATAAATTTAACCAACTATTCAAAAATACACAACAAATCCCAAAACCCAAAATATCGTAAATCACAAACTACAAAAGGAAAAAAAAATCTAGTGTCTCTATACATCAGAATCTAACAAGGTAAAATACAGAAGATAATGGACATGAGAAAGAGTAGAAGGGGACTCCGAGGTCTGCGAACGCGGCAGATATACCTTGAAGTCTCCAAAGCTGTCCCGGCTCACTAATAGTGCGGCTGATAAGGTGCACCTGGATCTGCATACGAAAAATATGTGCAGAGAGTAGCATGAGTACACCTGGATGATCATCAGGCCTAAGGACAATGGGTAAGATTTATTTATTACTTCTTTGTTTTTGCTGAATTATAATAGCTAGTCTTGTTTATTTAATATAATTGTTATGTTGTAGGTTCATACCTAATCATCAAACTACAAAGATAATCACTGAAGCTCTTGGCCGGTTGTATGATGCATCCTATGCGACTTGGAGTGACTTTCCACCGGAGCTCGTGGAGCAAATTTTTAACCAATTTAAGTTTTTAATACAATTCTTATCTATTTATGAATTATATTATCAATATTTTCATCTAACGTTACACACTTCATTTGCAGACTAAGTGTGCCTGGGGAGGACCGGCATAACAATGCCATTCTTGCAAATTTTGAGTTCAAATAGTGTAAGAGACTATGTGATTCCTTCTATTGTGCTCGGAAGAAGACCAAGAAGCCTTCATGGGTTCTACCGCACATATGGGAGGATCTGCTGAGGCAGTGGACCACTAAGAAGTTCGAGAAGAATAGTGAACATGGAAAGAAGGCTCGAGCATCTGAGAAAGGTGGCTCCTTGCACTGTGTGGGTGCAAGGAGTATGGGGACTGCGAGGAGACTACTAGTAATTCCTTAAAATATTTAATTCTCTATATATATATCAAACTATATTTATATATTTTAATTTAGTTAACATGTTTTATTATCTTTGTAGAAAAAAAATATGGAAGAAAAATGACTCATGATGAGTTCTTCATGAAGACTTACATCCGGAAGAATACACCGACAGATCCAACTAGATGGGTCGAGGACTGGGCGGAGACTACATATGTAAATTTCATAACTACTATAACTTGAAATTAATGTTTATAATATTATACAGTTAATAATTTTTTACCCTCTAAATAAAGGGTCGCTACAAGATTAATGTGGAGGAGTACACTTAGAGCTTTCCACCGAATGAGCAAGGCGAGCGACCACCCATTTTCGACGAAGAAGCGCAGAAGATATGGTTGGATGTTGTCGATGGTCCTAAAAAGGGGATAGCATACGGCCTTCCAGAGAGATCATTTCGGCGCTACATGACTGGATTGCAAGGAATAGGGACTTCTGCCCAAGGCGAGGTAATTGATAGGTCGACTATCTCGTCTATGGAGAAGAAGATCGCAAAGCTTGAAGAGACAAAGGCTAGAGAACAAAAGAGAGATAAATAATTTGATACCCTTCAAGTTCATCTAGAAAAGAGGGACCAATAATTTAATCTCCTTCAAGGTCAGCTGGCCAATCTTCTTGCTAGTGGTGTTTTTCCCATTCCCCGGTCTCGTGAGCCTTCCCCAGATGCTAGTCCTTCTCGTCGTGATCCTTCGAACCATGCCGACGATGAAGCTTCTAGTAGTAAAGATGGAGGTGATACAATATAAAACACTCATTGAATGATGTTTGAACTTTTAACTTGTAAAACGTTTTGTTATTGGGTGTTATGTTTTGTTAATATAGTTTAGTGGAGATGAGATGATGTTTACTTAATAGTATAGTTTTGATAGTTGTTATTGTTGTTGATATTGGTTGAATGGCAGCAATGTAATGCTGCCATTATATGTGATTGGTTGTTGGCAAGTGGTGCAACTATAAAACAGTTGTATTCTGCCAAAAATATACCCAGAAAACCGACCGCCTACCGACCGAAGTCGGTCGGAACTGTTCATTTGAATTTCCCAGAAATTCAAAGTTACCGACCGACTTCGGTCGGAATTGTTGAATTTAAATATTAAATATTTTAACATTCCGACCGACTGCGGTCGGAACTTTTAATTTTACATTTTAAATATTTTAAACATTCCGACCGAAATCGGTCGGAATTGAATAATTTTTTAAAAAAATAATAATTAAAGTACTGACCGACGTTGGTCGCTAATTTAAAAATAATTTAAAATTATTTTCAAAACTACCGACCGAAGTCGGTCGGTATGGTTATTTTTTGTCAGATAATTTGGTCAAAGTGCGTTGACGAATACCGACCGAAATCGGTCGGTCATATCGACCGACTGCGGTCGCTACCCTATTGCAACCATTCTTTTTTTGATGAATTAAAATCGGTCGGTAATCGGTCGGTTTTTGTTCGATTTCGACTGATTTCGGTCGGTTTTTGTGGACGCTTTGTGACAGTTTTTTTAGTAGTGATAGTTTATAATTATGTAACCATCTAAAGCTAAAGTAGAACACAGTGAAAGTTTGCAAAACAGAAGTTTCTTATTTTCCTTCTTTTTTGTTTGTCTAAACTTTATGTTTACAAATTTTGCGTAATGTTGAGGGAAGGTGATTTTGCATTGAACCAGAACAATCCATAAATCTCTCTATCCCTTGTATACAAAATTCAATAAATATCAGGGTGGATTATGATTAATTCTCTATTTAGAAAAATAAGGAAAATATGAAGGAAAACCAAAATTAAACGGGGGATAAATTTGGACTGCCATTTGTATCTGTATTGCCATGATCTTGAGTGGTATAGGGAATACAGTCACAAACTTCAAAAGCGTCACAAAAAGGTCTGCAATGATATACACTCATATGGGCACAATCTTCATCTTTTGTGCATTCTGATTGAGCTGCCACTTTAGAACATAGAAGATCTGTAAATAAATGTCATTAGTCATTTTAACGATAGCAACACTAATAAATCCAATGTAATCTCATAAAGTGGGGTCTAGGACGAATAATATGTACGCATATCTTATCCTACCTTGTGAAGTTAGAGAAAGTTATTTTCAATTGACTCGGCTCAATAATCATGAATAACAACAAAATAAGAAGATAAAAAAATCGAAACAAAAGAAACAACGTATAATAATATATAGAATTTCGCGGATAAGAAAATATGAGACTAATACTAATATTACTGGCATGAAAAAGAGACACATTCAACTACCTACTAATCTTCTCCTTAATTCTCGAATTCCTTCATGTCCTATTTTTAATGATAACAACAATAATTTTCCCAAACAAATTGCGGTCATTTTTTCCATGTTCTATAAGAAAAAATGAGAGAGATAGAGTCACAATTCACAAACCTATTGCAACAATAAGAAGTGCCGTAGTAAAAACTAACTTCAGAGATGCTTTCTCCATATTTAAAATGCTTATGTTTGCTTTTTTCACCATTGTATAAAAATTTACACTCTCTTATAGTTTAGACAATAGTCTCATTAAAGAGAAATTGCCGTTATACTTTGAGTAATGTGCTCATTAATGCTCTTTTAACTATTCCAAATTAATGTAACTTCTTTTTCAATACCTGAAACTGTATAATGGAACAACAACATTTTATCTCCGGCTTAATTAACATATCATGAATTTTCTTTATGAATATTTATTTCTGTTATTACTATGCTTTAACTTAGTAAGGAACAATTATTGTACAAATAAAATTCTATAATAGTTCAGAATATGGTTAATTCTCTAATTAAACAAATAAGGAGAAAAGTAAAAAAATGAGAGAAAAGAAAATCCTGAACATCACATCAGCTCTTAATGAACCAAAAATTATACAGATATATAGATTAAAAATGTTAGACCAGAGAAATAATGTGTCCAATGCGCGGGTTGGATCAATATTTATACGGGTCAAAATAATTTATAGTACTCTCTACTTTCTCTTTTATTTATCATGTTTGCCGACTCTTAAAAAATGTACTCATTAATTAAAATAATAGTTTAATTAAGTTGCCTTTATCTATTCTTGATTATAATTTGTTATTATTTTTACTTTCTTCATATTAGTTTCTCTCCACATTTATTAGGATAATAGTGAAGGTGGAATTTTTTTTAATTCTATCTTAATTTTTCTAAAATAACAAGTATTTTAAAATAACTATTTAAGTAAACATAACAAGCAAAAACGATAAAGCCTTTGACAAACTCAACTGGCCTTATCTTATATCAATACTAAGGCAAATGAGATTTGGTGAAAGATGGATTAAGTGGATTAGATATAGCTTCACCTCAGTAAAGTACTCTATTCTTGTTAACATAAGTCCAGTGGGATTTTTTTCTCCAAAAGAGGGATTAGGCAAAGAGACCCCATGTCTCCCTTTCTCTTCATTCCGTCTATGAAGGGGCTTAGTAGAATGCTAGAAAAGACCAAGCAATTGCAATGGTTGAAAGGTTTTGAAGTGGGGAACATCTCAGGCTCATCAATCTCCGTATCCCACCTCTTATTTGCTGATGACACTCTTGTTTTCTGTGGTGAAGAAAAAACTCAAATACAATATCTCAATCTTACTCTGATGATTTTTGAAGCTATTTCAGGACTTCACATCAACATGTCCAAGAGTATCATTTATCCTATTAATATGGTACCTGACTTGGAGAAGCTGACTGACATTATGTTCTGCATCACAGGATCATCTCCCCTTGGGTGCTAGACACAAAGCAACTGATATTTGGAATGTGATCATTGAAAAGTTTGAGAAAAGATTGGCATCATGGCAGCAACAATACCTTTCTTTTGGGGGTATATTAACACTCATCAGTAGTGTTTTGGATAGTATACCTACTTATTTTATATCCCTATTCCTAATTCCAGTCAAAGTGCAAAAACAACTTGACAAACTCAGAAGATCTTTCCTATGGGAAGGTAACAGTAAATAGCATAAGTTCCACTTAGTCAAATGGTCCAAAGTTACAATGCCCAAAACACTTGGGGAGGCTTGGAGTTAAAGATCTGGCACTTTACAACAAAAGCATGCTTATGAAGTGGTACTTGAGGTATAACCAGGGGGAAGCTGGGTTCTGGAAAGAGATCATCCAAGCAAAATATGGGACTTCTAGTCACTGGTGCACTAATGTGGTTAGAACACCATAGGGAACTGGGCTGTGGAAGAATATCATGAAACTTTGGGAGGATTTCTCAAGAAATACATCACAACAAGTGTGAAATGGTGCACACATCCAATTTTGGAAGGATAAATGGTTGGGGCACACTACACTAAAGGAGGTCTACCCAAAATTATTCCTAATTTCAACCAATCCAGAGTCTACTATTGCTCAAAACATGGAGGACAATATATGGAATCTAAACCTAAGAAGGTGTCACGTCCCAAAACCGAGGAGTGCGACCGACGCTCAACCGAGTGAACCCGACCGAGCAAGTCTGTTAGATTTCATTCTACCCAAACTCATCTACGAATAGAGATAATACATATTTTCATTAATTAGACGAAAATGTGTTCATGTCTACAATACCAATTCATTTCCAATAGTTTCATCATTTTTAAAGTCTCAAATGGACAAGTAATACAACCACAATATAACATAGTTTGTCTTTTTCCAGCACCAATACACAACCCATACTATGTCTACGGAGCCTCTATAGATGAAGAAGAGTACAATGATAATGCCGGCAACAAGGCCCCGGCTATACCTCAAACCGAATACACAAAGTATAAAAAATATACATGACCCCAGGATGAAGTGGGGCTCACCAAGTCAGCTGGGAAGAAGGTGTACTGCTATCACTGATTAATATCTCCTACTGTGGAACCACCTGCATCTATTTAAAGATGCAGAGCTCCCGGCAAAAGGGACGTTAGTACCGTCGAATAGTACTAGTATAAAAATTAAACACCAATTTAAGAATTTAGAAATACAAGATAATTATGATGAACCAGTGCGGCAATAGAATAATATAGATAACCGTCTCAACAATAGCAAGCTTATTAAAAGCTATCAACAACATTTATAGGATTTAAAATGAGATCCTTTATAACCATCTTCACACAAAGCGGCCCCGCCGCCTCACCCGATGTATGCAGGTGGAGGTGTACGTACAATACCACAACTCTAATCAAGCGGCCATGCCGCCTCACCTCAATGTATGCGGGTGGATATATAACCACAATACCAAGAACCTACACTAGGCGGCTATGCCGCCTCACCCCAATGTATGCGGGTGGTGGTGCCACAACAATACCAAAACCATACACAAAGCGGTCGTACCGCCTCACCTGAATGTAAGCGGGTGGAGGTGCAGTCCCACAATATCATAATCCCTACACAAAGCAGTCATGCCGCCTCACCCCAATATATATGCGGGTGGATGTGTGTCACAATCGCAATCTCTACACAACTTCGCATAAAAACTTTCACATAAATCACGACTCGAAGTTATAATATGTGGATACGTAATCCATAGTTTGGGACACATTCTCAATTTATAATGCAATATGATAAGAGCATTTGAAATACGAATTGAACATATATCTTCATCACAAAACTTATCGGAATACTCGATTTATAATCAACATCTCGGAACTTACAAGGATAATGAGAATTCCAACTCTTAAAGAAGAGTTTAGCCAACATACCTCAATTGAGCTTCCTTAAACTCTAAAACGTTCCGAAATTCTTAGCAACTTCAATCTATTTTAGAAATATAACAAATTGAACCACAATTAGGAAGATGATTATGGTTCTAGCTCATTTGAGCATTTTACCAAACACTAGGTGTGCATTAAGATTTCAAGGCCCTTTTTATGGAGGATTCTATCATTCCACAACCCAATCTTTACCATTTTTAGTTCAACAATCTTACTACATCATTTGATAACACATGCATGTAAGATAACCGATCCTCTTTCCCAGAAATTATCTTGCTTATTATCCATTTCTACACAAAATTCAAAATTGAGGGTTATGGTGTATAATCTTACCTTTAGGATGAAGACCTAGTGAGTTTTCCTTCTTAATCTTCCAAAACTTGGGCAAGAATTGCAGGACAAATATTGGAGAACACCTTCTCACTCTAGGGCATCCTCTCTCACTCTAAAATGTCAGATAATAGTTCAAAAATGACCCAAAGAGTGTATTTAACGAAATAGGGTCGGATTTTAAAAATCCAAAAATGGAGCTCCGGAACAAGGTATGCGATCGCATAGCCGATATGCAGACCGCATATCGGTAGCATAGTTGGTTACAAAATAGCCAAAAGAACTGTCTGTGTATGCTGTCACTATGCGGTCGCATAATGCACCACATAACAGTTATGCGGTCGCATAGTCGACCGCATAGTTGCTTCCAACTGACCCAATTAACTGCCTCACTCTGCGGCCATTATGTGGTCCGCAGAGTAGTTTTGCGGTCGCATAATGAATTGTAGAAATGAACTTTTTCTCCAAAAATTTTCCTTTTCATTCTCGTGCATTGTTCAACCCAAAAAGTCTGAGCCGCGACGAGCTTTTCTATAATCCTCAAACACGTAAGCCTAGTCCGATACCATGAAATATTATTTTCTTTGTAAATTTTATCAGGCCTTACACTTAAGTACTTTAAAATTTTTCGGGGTGTTACAGAAGGGATCTTAATGATTGGGAGATAGAAGATCTAGCTTCACTACTTCTAAGCCTGCATAACAACATAGTCGCCAGCCAGGGAAGAGACATACTTAAATGGGGCAACAACAAAGAGGGCACTTACTCCGTCGCTACTCCCACTTGAGCTCCAATAAAGAAATGATTGATCGCCTTGGAAATTAATCTGGAGAACTAAGCTGCCACCAAAAGTTATCTGTTTTAGCTGGATCACTCTAAAGGACTCTTGCTTAACACAAGACAATCTCATCAAGAGAAATTTTCAGCTACCTAATAGGTGTTACATGTGCCTCTGCAAGTCTGAGTCAATTAATCATTTGTTTCTTCACTGCTTAGTTACAATAGACATTTGGAACATGTTCATAGCTCTTTTTGGTCTGCATTGGTCTATGCCATGTAGTGTGAGGGAGGCTTTTGCGAGTTGGTGCTCATGGAAAGTTGATAAAACCATCAAAAGGATCTGGGCTATAGTTCCTGTTTGTATTTTGTGGTGTATATGGACCTAAAGGAATTAGAGATGCTTTGATGGGTCTCAACTGCCAATCATTCTCTTAAAGCCAAATGTTTAGTTAATCTTTTTAGTTGGGTTAATCTTACCTTTGTTTACAACCATGAATCAATTTTGGAATTTATCAGCCTTGGTCTTATGATAGATCTTTTGTTGATATTTTTGGGCTGATACTTTCTGTTTCTTTGTAACATGTGCATCTTCTTGATGCCTTTTGATAATAATACTCACTTGATAAAAAAACAAGCAATAACTGATCATAACTTTATCAAAAGTTTACTTCAATCAAATAAATTTAATCACTGTGAGTCAAATAATAGGTCATAACTCAACTCTCTAACATGATCCGATCTCTACTCTTTCTTGTTTGCTCTTTAATTTTTTAAAAATTGTGATTATAATTTAGAGTATGTATTGCGTTAAAGTAGTATTTTTCCTGCTATGCCAATCTAACCACTTAAATAAATGTAGCATTTAGTTCCCACCTATAAGTACAACAAACAAGACCACTCACTAGTCATCTATAGTAGCAGCAAAAAAGATTACCCATTTCCGTGGGAAGTGAAAATCAAACCAACCATGATTTCCTCCAAACTCTCCTTGCTGATCACGGTGGCACTGATGGCGGCAACCACCACACTAACGGTGGCCCAAACTCCGTCGTGTGCTGCTCAGTTAGTACCATGTGCACCTTACCTCAACTCAACCAAACCACCGGCTTCTTGTTGTGACCCACTTAGAGAAGCCGTGACCAAAGATCTTGATTGTCTCTGCACGCTGTACGAAAATCCTACGTTGTTGCCTTCTCTTGGTATTAATGTTACTCAAGCACTTGCTCTTCCTAAGGCCTGTAACATCCCCGGCGATGTTAGCGCTTGTAAAGGTAAGATTTTTATGCATTTTTCTTCACTTAATAGTACTAAATCAACGGCCTTTTAGTTAAACCCCCCAGATTTTGTTTCTTTTTTGTTTTCGAAATGAGGAGCTGTGATTTGAATCGGGATTGAATTAATTGATTTTGAGGTTGATAATTTTCTGTTTTTACTGCGATCAAGAACTAAAACTACTTCAAATCTGATATTCTTCACTTTTTTGTCCTTTTTCATTTTTTATAGGAGAAAATAATTTCAGGAAATGGTGTAAAAAATTTCTCTAGTAAATAATTGGGGCTTAATTATTTCTGTTGTTACTGTGTCCCATTGTCGGTTTAGCGTTAATTTGATTCTTTTGTATTTGTCTGCAGCTGCTGCTCCAAAAAGTTCAGGTTCTTCTCCTTCTGGGACAACGCCAGGTAATTGAGATTAATTTGCTCAATGTCTCTACTTTGTTTACCACCGAATTAATATTCGTCAATTAATTAACTATCTCGGAGTATGCAGCAATTTGTTTTGATTTTTATTAATTATTGAACATTACTCTGTTAAATTTACTGAATGTGAGTCATAGGTGCTTGAACTTATCATTCATTGCTCCACTTTCTAATAAAGATGTTGTAAATTAAGTTTGTTCGCTTTTATGGGCCTATTATTGTTAATATAAGTTATAGAAAGACTTGCAAATTCAAAGGTTGACTTGATATCTTGTACTTTTTCGATAATTCAAAGCCCCCAATTTTGAAAATTGACAGCATAGTTTTATTTCTTGACTTGTTCCAACTAAGGAAAAAGTTTTCACTGAGAACTTGTCGTATATGATTTTTGAAATGAAACAAAACAGAATATTGTGTTCCCTCTTGCAAAAGGACAAACAAGAATGTTAATGTTGGACTTATCAATGTATGGGACAAAATCTACCCTAGAATATTTAGGGTAATATATAACATTAAGGGAAGAGTCAGCCGAGGTCGGCCAGGGAACATCAAGATTTATGGTCGAGACGTCAATAATGACCGAGGTCAAGCATCGCTGACAGAGCAGTAACGACTAATTTTTGAAATAGGATGTTAAAGAGAATATTCTCTATTCTCTGCACTTGTACCATTAGGATTTGTTAGAGGTATGTCTCAAAGAAAATAAGGGGGGGNCAATCCACCATTTATTGAGTGAATTATTCCTCTTATTTACTTAAATACCATTTATTGTTATTTATTGCTAGTTACACTTCCATTATTGCTCATTCTTTATGAACGTTTTGTGCCTATCATTGTCAATATTTCACTGGATCTGTCCCATCTCACGCACGTTTTTAAGATTCGCATATAGAGTTATTATCTTTAACTAGGTTTAACCCATTATTACGTAAATTTAATAGTTTAGCCGAAAGTTATACTTTTTGGTCAAACAATTTGGCGCCGTCTGTGTGGATTATCTAGTTATAACTCTCTTAGTTTCTTCTATATCTACAACCGCCCTCGCCAGCCCGCACCATCCGCATGATCATCGGTGGCGGGGACGATGCTTCCATCAACAATGTTAAGTTCATCACAACCCACAAACTCAAACGGTCAATCACCCACGAACGTATGATGAACTCGAAGAAAGTATCATCTTCGTTAAGTCAGATGCCAACGGTTTGGCTTTCCCTCACTATGATGCTCTTGTTATGACTTTACGAATTTTAGATACCGACGTGAGACGGATTATGGTAGACGATGGGAGCGGCGCGTGTATTATCCATCCTCTAGTACTTGCACAAATGAAACTCGAGGACAAGATAGTGCCACGCTGCATCACACTAACAGGTTTTAACAATGTAGTTGAGCGAACCTCCGGCGAGATCACACTCCCCGTCCTAGCAGGTGGCGTCACTCTGGAAACCACATTCCATATCGTGGACCAGAACACAGCATACAACACCGTAATAGGGCGACCATGGATACACACCATGAGAGCCATCCCCTCCAGCCTGTACCAAGTCATCAAATTCCCAACTCCATGGGGAATATTCAGTATACGAGGGGAGCAACGCACGTCCCAGGAATGCTACCGCATCGCCTTAGACTGTACGGCCACCCAACAAAGGATAAAGAAAAAGAGACATAGCAATCAACAGGGTCGAGGTCGGTATGTGATGACAACGAGGACGTTATAAGGGACCCCGATATGGTTGAGGCCGCAGGATCAACCGTAGAGGACCTCGACCCCGTTCAGTTAGACAGCGACGACCACAACAAGAAAGCTTACATCGGCTCAAACTTCAGGAACCAGGTAAGTTTCGTGAATTTTTAATTGCTAACGCGAATTTGTTTGTTTTTAGCCATGCAAATATGCCAGGTATCCCAAAGGAGATCGCCACGCACAAATTGAACGTCGATCCACTCTACACCCGGTGAGGCAGGTTAGGCGTAAGTTAAACTCCGCAATTAATGACGCAGTACGCGAATAAGTGGAAAAATTGTTGGAAAATTGCTCCGTCAGGGAGTTGAAGTACCCTCAATGGGTCGCCAACGTAGTCATGGTAAAAATGAAGAACGACAAATGGCGGATGTGCGTAGATTTCACCGACCTGAACAAAGCTTGCCCCAAGGATTCATTTCCATTACCCCATATCGACCAACTCATCGATGCAACGGTCAGGCACGAGCTACGAAGCTTCTTGGACGCCTACTCGGGCTATAATCAGATCCTCGTAGAGGAAGAGGATCAGGAAAAAACCACCTTCATCATCCACCAGGGGACGTACTACTACAGGGCATGCCCTTCGGACTGAAAAATGCAGGGGCAGCTTATCAAAGGTTGGTGACGAAGATATTCAAAGACCAACTCGGTAAAACGATGGAGGTCTACATAGACGACATGCCGGTCAAGTCCAAAAGGAAAGAAGATCACATCGACCACTTGAGGTAACCCTTCGGTATACTCAGGCAATACGACATGAAACTGAACCCCAAAAAATGTGCATTCGGCGTGGCCTCAGGAAAATATTTGGGTTTCCTAGTGTCGCAACGAGGTACCGAGGTCAATCCCGATCAAATCAAGGCCATCGAGGGGATACAAGAGCACTTGACCACCAAAAAACTGGTCCAGAGGTTGACTGGCCGTATCGCCGCCCTTTCGAGGTTCATTTCACGATCCTCCGATAGGTGCCATAAGTTCTTCGGCGTACTCAAGAAGGATACCGGCCTCCAATGGGCCCCTGAATGCGTCCAAGCCCTTAGGGAGTTAAAGGTGTACTTGTCATCGCCACCATTGCTTTCAAAACTAGAGCCGGGGCAGCCCCTCATCGTCTATCTCGCCGTGTCCGAAGTAGCCGTACTCATTAGTCTTTGGGACTGATGCGGCAATACCAGTCGAGGTCGGGGAGCCCAGCTTAAGATACTCCCACGAAAGCGGACCCTGGAACGACGATAGCAGAAGGCAGGAGCTCGATGAAGTCGAGGAACGAAGATATATGACCTACGTAAGAATGGTCGCCCAAAAGCAACAAGCAGAACGCTATTATAACAAGAAGGCAAAGATCAGGCCACTCAAAGTCGGGGACTATGTGCTTAAAGCTAAAACACAAGCGAGCAAAGAGCCACGAGAAGGCAAACTAGGAACAAATTGGGACGACCCGTACAAAATAACGGCAACAACGAACAAATGGTCATTCCAACTAGAAACAATGGAAGGAAAGCGACTACCAAACAACTGGAATATTACACTTCTAAAAGACGAAGTGCCCCCAAAGTCGTACTCTTTTTTCCCTCACTCGAGTTTTGTCCCAATTGGGTTTTCTCGAGGAGGTTTTTAATGAGGCGATGAAGGGAACACTTCAAGATTGAAGGAAGTGCGCAACGGCTAGTTCATTGCTTGACCTCTCAATACTTCTCCAGGTCAACCAATGAAGGGACTAGAATACTTCTCCAGCCAACGCCCGAAAAATATGTAAATTTCTCCAAGTGTATGAACAAAGCACAAATGCATGGAGTTTATTTCTATCTTCTCCAAATGCACAACCAAAGCAACGTTGCCTTAAAATCATACCGCCTCGTTCGAATTAACGCCTAATCGGCCCTCGGCCATAACTAACCATAGGTTACATTCGACCTCGTTCGAATTAACGCCTAACCGGCCATGACCAAGCATAGGTTACATTCGACCTCGTTCGAATTAACGCCTAACCGGCCCTCGGCCATAACTAAGCATAGGGTACATTCGACCTCATTCGAATTAACGCCTAACCGGCCCTCGGCCATAACTAAGCCTCGTCCATAAATAAACACACGATATACTCGACCTCGTTCGAACTAACGTCCACTGGCCCCCGACCATGATCAAACCTAAGTTTGTTTCGACCTCGTTCGACCCCACTCGAGCTGAATCATTACGACCAAGAAAACCAAGGCAACCAAGCAACAAAATCAAAAAGCATACAAACCCAAACAGAAGAAAAAAGGATCAGGTACAAATAACGAAACTGCTATTTTATACTTAGAATATATTTTTACAAAGGCTCGAGAAGATGCCCACCAAAAAGCGCACAAGTCTGTGGCAACACAAAAAGGAAAAGAAAAGCTACTAATCTCCGCCTAGCCCAACCGCACCATCGGCCTGGTTGCCTAGACCATTGTCGTCCGCCCCTTCACTATCCTATCGCCATTAGGATACTCATTTTTATACCAGGCGTCCTCTTCAATCCGGTCCACGCCCGCATCCTCCTCGTCGTCACCGGCCTCCAGTGTAGCAGGATCGTAGCCACATGCAACCCGAGCTTCTCGTGCCTTAACACGAGCATCCTCGAGGACGGCTTTCGAAACGGTTCCCAACTTCATCAAATCTCTGAATATATCCAGATGGGCCTCGGCGTGAATTCACTCGTATAAATCTCGAGGAACATCAGGAAAGTTAGAAACATGGGAAGAAGATGGTCGAGCCAATAATTGTGCCTTCTCGGCCTCCAGAGCGGCGACTCGTTCACAAAGGCCAGAAGCCTCTTTCTCCAATTCTCCAATTCTCCAATCCGTTCATCAAACCGCTCTTCTTTAAGTCTGGCCGTCTCCAAGGCATTCTCTCGCTCGGATCGGAGAACACGGATTACTATCTCCAAAGCCTCCATCTTCCTCATAGCCCCCGACCGAGCTAACTTCGCCTTTTCGAGATCCGCGGCCTTCTCAGCGACCTCGCCCCTAAAAGCATCAGCTTTGAATTCACACCCCTCGATCTCGGCGCGCAACGAGAGAACTTGGGCTTGGAGATCGCCACACTGGGCTTCGACACTCTACTAACCTCCCGTTCTTCCTCTTTGTCCCTTAGCGCCCCCTCGAGAACACTGCATTTTTCGATGACCTTCACCAACTCGTTATCTTTTTCTTTCAGCTCGTCTCTGAGAGCTCGGAAGTTGCCGCCTTCGCCAAACCGCCTGCAAATCTCGTGATGCTTGCCGCGGTACTCGCGGTATTTTCTCTCCATCTTCAGAAAAATAGCCTTGCGCCTCTCATATTCGGGCACTTTCAATCTCCAAAATCACAGTCTGAAAGAAAGAGGAAAAGAAAACGAAGAGTAAGAACGAAACAAACTTTGAACTCGACAAACAAAAATGAGAGGGATCGAAAAACTTACCCTAAGAGCGAGGTCGGCTATGCTCTTGGATAAGGTAGCATCCTTCAGCTTTTCGAGGGTTTTACCCTCCTCATCAGACCAGAGGGGACCGAGGGAAGGGACCACGTCCTCTGTGTCGACCACAAATCTCAGGGATCGCAATAGTCCGCGTGGACCACTCCAACCTTACTTCGAGTCGGGTAAACCCCTCCCCCATCATCCTCACCTCATCGGCTTCCACGTCAGAGCCCGTCTCGTAACCATCCTTAGCTACGCACTTTCCTTTTATGTCGGCCATCAAAGAAAGATCCTCGGCTAGTCGCGAGGCCGATGGCTCATCCCGCCGCAAGTTATCAGGGACTCTCGCCGACGGCCCTTCAGCTTCCATCATGGTTTCAGAAAAAGACCTATCCTCTGCGGCTTCAGTCGATAGCGGAACCACGGGCGATAACTCGGTGTCATCTTCAAGCTCTATAGTCGTCGTTTCTCGAGTGACGAAATCGCCCGTCATTGAATCCACCGCCCGAACAACCCCTTCGCCGACGTCCACCGATCTCCTCTTGCGGGGAACCAAATTACCCCCACGCAGCGACAATTCCTCTTTCTCGTCCTCGTCCACTAGATGAAGCAAAGGAGAAGTCGGAAACTCCGCCGTCGATATATCCGCGGGCACAGAAGAAGACGGTACGGAAGCATCAGTAGGTATGGTCGACGAACGAGAAGGCCTGGCCGCAGCAGAAGAACGAACATAGGCAGATGACCGAGGAGGCCTAGCCGCAGTCACAGCAGGAACAGACTCCAAAGCAGAAGCGACTTTCTTCTTGCGAAACGCAGGAGGAGGAGCCCTCGGCCTCCTCGAACACCCTCGAACTGAAAAAGAATAAGCTTCGTCACCACCAATAATGAACTATAGCGTACAAGCAATCATGTGGTCAAAAGAGAATTGAAAATAATAGACGAACTCACCGGCCAAGGAAGAAGCAGGCCTGAACCTCTTGAGAAAGCCCGGTCACTCATGAATCCCCACCGTGCGAGAAAGAATCCGGCCAACCTAGTCGGAAATGTCCCGACCAAAGGAGGAGGCGCGACTTTGGTTGTACATGGAAGAGAGAATGTTAGAACCTACGACTAGAAACAAACAAATCAAATACCTCTCACAAAAGACGGGTACTTACGAGCACGATTCCAGGTCTCGGGAAAGCTGTCCGCGTTGGCTACCACGTCCCCGGTTCTGACGAAGAAGTAGTTGAACCAGAACTGACGATTCGCTTTATCGTCCATCTTTACCACCAAGCATTTACTTCCTCGGTGGCGAAGATGCAACATCGCCCCCCTATAAAAGCTAGGGGCGAAGAGATGCATTAGATGGCGGAGAGTGACCTCGACCCCGGCCAACTCGGCAAATTTTGAGAGCATCCTGATAAGTTTGTAAATGTACGGAGAAAGCTGGGCCGGGCAGACACCGTAATAGCGATAAAATTCCTTCGCCAATGGGAGAAGGGGGAGAGTATAGCCGATCTGGAAAGGATACGCGTAAAACGTGCAATATCCGGGACAGTGGATTTGCACCACGTCGCGCCCAGGTGGGATCAGATCGATATGGGCAGGGATATTGAATTTTGCCCTAAGTTCGGCCAGATCGACCTCTTTCAACACCGACTCCGAGATTTCGGGCTCACCTTCGGGCGCCTTCGAGAAATGGGACCTAACTTTCTCGCTACAAGGGATTATTTCCTCCACCGTAGAAAAGTTCTCTTCCTCTATCGCAACAGAAACCCTATCAGCATGAGGGGGTATAAGCACCGCCAAAGGGACAAGATCAGTTGCCATACTAGAAACAGAGGACACATCAGTCATGTTGTTTAGCGGAGGGTATTCAAGCGATGAAGTGTTAGAAGCAGCAAGAATCGCTAAAACCAGTAAGAAAACACGCGACAATGGAGGAAGAAGAAGAAGATAGAGCTCTTTGATGCAAGGGTTTGTAAAAATTGAAACGTTGCCCACACACCCCTATTTATAAAAGATCAAGCGTTGAGACCAAGGAATTATTCATCATTACCTGGCACTGTAACCAAAGCGGCAGACTCAATCAGGAGACGCGCGCGAAACGAAGCAACGTCTCGGGAAATCGCGCCATAATGACGTCACCCTGTTTCGTCGGACTTACAACCCCAGAAATTACGGCTCACAAAAGGACACGTTACCAACTCGCCCCAATCATCACGGCCCGTTCAGGTCGTCCAAATGCTTCAACCACATTATACAATATCCGCTCATCGAGTCCGTCTGAGGCCGGCCTCAATAAGCGGAGGGACTAACTGTATGAGACAAAATCTACCCTAGAATATTTAGGGTAATATAACATTAAGGGAAGAGTCAGCCGAGGTCGGCCAAGGAGTAGCAAGATTCATGGTCGAGACGTCAATATTGACCGAGGTCGAGCACCGCTGACATAGTAGTAACGACTAATTTTTGAAAATAAGATGTTAAAGAGAATATTTTAGTGAATATTATTTGCACTTGTACCATTAGGGTTTGTTAGAGGTATGTATCAAAGAAAATAAGAAAGGGGGTATGTGATATTCATTCGACAAGAACACTTTTCAGAGGAAGATTCTCTCTCTTGTAAAGATACAAAGATTGCCTTTTTATTAAGATTCTTGCCCATATTATCACAGACTTTTCCACCAGATCTGAGAATAGTTCGAACAAACCTTGGATTTATCTGTCATTCATCATTGTCAGGAGGAACATTCGTCAAATCCACCCTTTATTGAGTGAATCATTCCTCTTATTTACTTAAATGTCATTTATTGTTATTTATTGCTAGTTACACCTCCATTATTGCTCATTCTTTATGAACGTTTTGTGCCTATCATTGTCAACATTTCACTGGATCTGTCCCATCTCACGCACGTTTTTAAGATTCGCATCTAGAGTTATTATCTTTAACTAGGTTTAACCCATGATTACGTAAATTTAATAGTTTAGCCGAAAGTTATACTTTTTGGTCAAACAATCAATGCACTCAACAAGTTTTGTTCATTCTGTGCTGTAACGAGATTTTCTCAGGTGTCAAATTTTGTATCAGACACAAGCTCATTTAGGAGTCTCTTTTCATTTGCTCCTTAGAGGCTTAGAGAGGAACAGGAAAAATACAAAAAATGAATAACACCTGGTGTAAAACTAAATTCATACCAATTTAAGTATTTCTTCCCTTCTCTTTCAAATTTTCTGTTCTTCCATTTTATTCAAGTTTCCCTACTGTGGCAAAATACTTTTGAGTTGCTTCTCCAAACACAATCATTAGTTGTTGTTAGTGAGGACTTAGCTGAAGGTCTGTCCTACTTCTTAGTGGCGTTCAATCTTACTTAGATTTTCAGCCAAAACTTTGACCAACATTAAGAAGCTTGTTCAAGCTTATCCAATAAGTGATTTTGATCGTTTTCTTGCTTATCCAATAAGTATTCGCACTGGTATCGTATAGAGCAGCTTCTCATGGATGTTGGTTTTCTTCGGATATGTCTTAATAGTCTTGTCTTCTGCTATAGCTAGGATTAAGTTTTTAAAGTCCCTTTTTTACCCCTACCCCCTTGGCGGCTGTCTTTCCAAAGTAATCTTTTGCATAATCTGTTCGCCACCTCTTAAGTCATGCCAATTTGAAGGTTCTTCTAAGTCACCTCTATATTATTACAACTTCTGCCAAGTTATTTTGGTTTTACTCTGTCTGAAGTTATATGCTAGGTACTCTGAGAATGTTGAGGCGGCTCAAATGAAAAGTGGCAGATTTGTTATGCTACTCAGACTTATGATCACATTTAGTTTACAAATAAAGTGTGGAAGTACCTTTTTTTGTGTGTGCGTGTGCAAGTAACTTATTTAGGCATTTGTAGTCACTAAACTGGAGGCGAGGGTTAGCCAAATGGAGCACCAAAGCGTCTATGTCTAAATCATATGTGTCCATCTCTTCCTCGTTTAGAATTGATCTCCCAGTCAAATGTAAATTCAAGATAAAGTTGATTTGAGTTGGTTTACTTGTCTATGTACATGTTTTAATTTCCTTATCAGCAAGGACAGATACATGTTTAATTTGCTGTGCTTTCTTGCTTACAATATTGCCCTCTTGATTGTTTTATAGTCACACAAGCTGCAAAAGATAAAAATGGAGTGAGCAGGATTGCATGGACCGGAATCTCAAGCTTACTCGTACTCTGTGCTTCTATCGTGCTTGCTTAAATTATTGATTGTGTTCTTCTAATATTGGAGAATCTTGATTTCTTTATTTCGGTATTATTTAGAGAATAGACAGATTGCACTACAAGCCTTTATCTCTTGTACTCTGACGTTTTGCATTCTGTTGTCTGCTGAGGTGAACTAAATTGATGTATGAGCTCTTTAATTGTTTTACTATTTGCATACTTTGTGTTTACATGTTCTTGATGTATTCGTGGGATTTGTTAAGCGAAATTGGAGGTTAATACGAGCAAGGGCCTCTTTTTCTCTTGTCTTTTATTATATTCTCTGGTACAGGAAAGAATTTAACTTGCACTGGCAAAGTAATTTAAGGCACGCAACATCTGGAATTAAGTAATTTTTGTCTTGTTGGACAACTTCCAAGAGTTAATTATTCTTTGTATTCGTACTTAATGCCATCCTAAGGGTGGCAAATGGCTAGGTCGGGTCGCATATGGGGTAAAAACGGATAATGCAAAAATGGATAAATTATTTGACCCGACCCATATTTAATATGGATAAAAAATGGGTTGACTGGCGGATTATTCATGCGTTCTTGAATATGATCACTTTTGGGAGAATCTTAAGTTTTCTAAACTAAATGAACCTCCAATTTGAAATTTTACAAATGTAAAAGGTTATTCATTTTTTAAGTGGATAATATGATTCTTATCCATATTTGACCCGTTTTTAAAAAATTTATTATCCAAACTCATTTTTAATAAATAATATGGGTAGATAACTATTTTTTCTTTTAACCATTTAGACACATGCCATCCTAAGCACCTCCATGGTACCTCAGCTAATCATTTCAGTATTTAAAGAAAACGATAGCAGAAGAATTCTTAGAACATAAGTTCACTTTTTACAGTTTGATCAATTACATTTTCTTGTGTCTATTGAAAATAGTCATAAAAGGATCCGAATTCAGAAATATATTTTTCGATTAACAAAATTAAAAGTTCTTATTAAATTATTTGTATGTCAGAAAAGACACACAAATGAAGTTTACTTTAAAACGAATCTCCTAAAGCAATCAACAATTCTAAGGTGAAAAAAGTATTTACATTGTATTGTTATCTTATCTAAAAAGTTTTTTTAAAAAAAATAAATGAAGCAAGTGATTATTTTTTAACGCACCTTAGTGGGCGTTTGGACATAAGAATTGTAAAATTTCAAAAAAAGTAAATTTTTTTTTTTTAAGTGAAAATTGTATTTGAAAATTAGAGTTGTATTTGGATATCAATATAATTTTTGTGCAGTTTTTGAATTTTTGTGAGTAATATGAAGTGAAAATAATATTTATTTTTTGGAGTTTTTCAAAATTTCAAAAAATTTTGAAATTCATTTTCAAATGAAAATCGAAAATTTCATGGCCAAACATGATTTCGAAAAAAGTGAAAAAAATAAATAAATCTTTTTTATGACCAAAGGGGCCCTTAATTTACTTAATTATTGTTTTATTAAAAAGAGCATGGAGAATTTTTATTTATCCAGTAATAGAAGCTACTGGAAGGACCTAGTCAGCTCAAGTCCCTTGCAATTCTTCGCGTCACAAAGCAGTCAGCTCTGTAATCGTAACACACTAACACTCTGCAAGCGATAGTGGAAACAATTTTGGGGTAAAACTAGGGTCTGCGAATCCGATTCAAAGGTAATACAAAAGAGTAATGGAGCCGGCGAAGTTGAATGAACTGAAGCAATTCGTCGAACAGTGCAAATCCAATCCTTCTATTCTCTCTAATCCTTCTCTTTCCTTCTTCCGTGACTACATTGAAAGGTACACTAAATTCCATTTGTAAATTGTAACTTTTCAAAGCTTAATTTATTATGAACATATGAATGGATCACCACTTAGCTCATGTGGATTTATTTGTTTGATTTTTTTTTTTGCAGTCTCGGTGGTAAACTTCCTCCGTCTGCTTACGACACTGGAGATTACAAAGCGGTATATTTTAAACGTTATTTGAGTCTTTTAAATTCTTTTCATTGCTGAACTTGAGATAATGTAGGCGTAGGCTATTTTCCTGTTGAAGTAATTAAGAGAAACTATAGTAATTTTGTAAAAATTTAATATTCTAACTTGTACATTCTCAAATAGGCAAAGAGTAAACTTCCAAGTTTACCTACGATCTCTGGTTCTTAGTAATCTATGTGTGGATACTAAATGACTGAGCAAATAGAACCTACCGCAATTAATTTCCGAATTAGACCTAAAATCACATGAAAGTACAATCTCTAGTAATTAAGAATACTATAATGGAAGCAAAGGGTCCCTATAAATGATACTGATTAGCGTGAGTAAAGGCGAGTTGTTGTTACACTTGGTTAAGTCCAGGCGAAGATAAGTGTGAGGTTTAGAGCACTTCTGATGTGCTTTAAAAGACGAGTTACTGACTATTATTATTGTAGTGAAATGGGCTCGAATAGAGTGGAATATATGAAGATCCCATACACAACCAGCTGGGATTGTGGTGTAGTTGATTGATTAACTGATTTAATTGTGGTTTCTCTATATACCTGCAAGTTTCCACTTTATAAGGTTTCTCCTTTATTATTGTATTAGTATGGTCATGGTTTCTCATTAAATATGAGGTAATTGGAAACTTAAACACCTCTCTTTGTATTTTATATTGTCCTATTGAACTATCATTTGCTATGCAGAAGTCTCATGTGGTGGATGAGAGTGATGACGAGGTGGGTGATGATGAGAACGATGCTCATGCTAAAGGGGCGGTTGAAGAAGACGAGGAGCCTGAGATAATTGAATCTGATATTGAGTTTGATGAGAGTGACACTGTGGAACCTGACAATGATGAGCCACAAAAGGTCTGATGTCTGACGGATTAACATTTTCTGTTCACTTTGGGTTTAATGGTTCTTGTTTATTTTTGACTTATTAAAGTTAATTTTCTAGATGGGAGACCCTTCTGTTGAGGTGACCGAAGAAGCCCGCGATGCTTCTCAAGAGTCCAAAGCTCAGGCCTTGGAAGCAATTTCTGAAGGTGATGCTGTTCAATGTCTATATGTGTGCATGCATTTCTGTGTGTTCATAAAATCAGTGGGTATCATGTCACTTACTTTTGGCCTTTGTGCTCATCAGGTAAGCTAGAAGATGCAATTGAGCATCTTACAAAGGCAGTTCTCCTCAATCCTACATCAGCAATTATGTATGCTGCTAGAGGTACACTTTGCTTGGTTTTTTGTTGTCTTCTAATTGAATAGTCATTTTTATTCAGTCACTCATAGTTTTTTTTTCTTCTTTTTCTAACACAGCTAGTGTGTATATCAAGATGAAGAAGCCAAATGCTGCCATACGAGATGCAAATGCAGCGTTAGAGGTTGATCTTGCTAGCAGATTTGCTTGCCTGAATTTGGTTCTGTTCTTTATGCGTCAATTTCTAAAGATACAGTTATTTTTTAATAAGGTCGCTCAATAATTGCAGCGAGTGAGCTTTATCAAAATGTAGTTGCATTGACTGGCTAATAATTCTTGAGGTTTTTATACGGAAAGTACCCTGAAGAATTCATTGTGCATATCCCCTTAGAACGCTCTTCCATTCTTGAGGCAGACATGGAGGCGTACACACATAAAGTTTGCATGCTTCCTAGTTAATGCATATCTTTGATATCTGGTACAGTAAATTATAGTCTTCCCAAAGTGTTCATTCTCATTTTCCTGTTTTAGATGTCGTAAGATAGTAATTATAAAAATCATCTATCTTTGTTTCATCCCCACTTAAAATGCTTCTTTAAGAAGCGTATATAAATATGGGTAGCAACTGGAAAAGTAGATGACATGACTTGGGAAAGACCACTTTTGATTGAGGCAATTATCCCCCCCACCCCCTCCCTTTTTTTTGGGGGGGGGGGGGGGTCTTGCATGTAACTAGTTCTGCCGGAAGTATTTGCATTTCAGTTAAAAAGATATATTGGACCAGGTTGGGATTTCTGTAGATGCTGATTAAAGTGGAGGCACTGAGCTGTAATTTGTTGTTCAATGTATCATAAACTTGACTGTTCTTGCAGATAAACCCAGATTCTGCTAAAGTTTACAAATCACGTGGCATTGCACGTGCCATGCTGGGAAAATGGGAGGAAGCTGCTAAGGATCTTCACTTGGCTTCAAAGCTGGACTATGATGAGGAAATAAGTGCTGTGCTTAAGAAGGTTGGTTACCGCAATATAATCTCATAATATCTATATGGTAAAGTGGCATTGCCACATTTTTTTTTTCTCTCCTTAGTTTATTTGTTTTTATAATTTGTTGTCGTATTGCATTTCGCTTAAGTTGCTACAGTCATTGTTGTCAAATGAATATGTGGTGTCTCTGTCACAGGTTGAGCCAAATGCACATAGAATTGAAGAACACCGCAGGAAGTATGATAGGCTGCGCAAAGAACGAAAAGATAGAAAGAATGAGTGTGAGAGACAACGAAGAAAGGCTGAAGCTCAGGTACACCTCAATTACTTGTTTGGTTTTATGTTTTTGCTGCTCAGTGTTTCTGCATGTTAATATTCTTGTATATGTTTAATCTCAGGCTGCTTATGAGAAGGCCAAGAAGCAAGAAGAATCCTCATCAAATAGGAGAGCTGGTGGCATGCCTGGTGGCTTCCCTGGTGGAATGCCAGGAGGGTTTCCTGGGGGCATGCCCGGGGGTTTTCCTGGCATGCCTGGTGGGTTTCCTGGGGGCATGCCTGGTGGGTTTCCTGGGGGTATGCCCGGTGGGTTTCCTGGGGGCATGCCCGGGGGCTCTCCTGGGGCCATGCCTGGTGGCTCTCCTGGGGCCATGCCAGGGGGCTCTCCTGGGGCCATGCCTGGAGGAATGCCTGGTAACATGGACTACAGTAAAATACTGAATGTAAGTAGATCTACTTTTGTATGTTTACTTTTGAAGCAAATTATGGTTTTTACGTTAATGTCTAAAGAAAGTTATTAACTTAGGTGAAGATTAATTTCAATAGAAAGAAAATCTTTTATTGCTTTTTAGTATATGTAGCTTTCAAGTCACAGTTTGTCCATAACAGGGATCTTAAAATATTCTTTATGTTTTTTGGTTGGAGCAGGACCCTGAGTTAATGGCGGCATTCAAGGATCCTGATGTCATGGCTGCCCTACAAGATGGTACTTCCCTTTCGGCTCTAACCCTTTAGCCTGGCTATTCTGGTTATCTCTTACAGGGTTTTAATTAGATAACTAAGTCATTTCAGTTCTTCTAGACAAGTCATCCAACAATTGCAGTGAAGATCATTATGAAATTTATCACATCTTAATGACTTGCTGTACAGTTCAAGCAGATTTGTGATCTATTGGTTTCATTTTAGGTTGACTAACAACTATGTAACTGGCGTAACTAGTAAAGTTGATGCAATGTCACCAGGAGGTTACGGGTTCGAGCCGTGGAAACAATCTCTTGCAGAAATGCAGGGGAAGGCTGCGTGCAATAGACCTTTCTGGTCTGGCCCTTCCCCGTACCCTGCGCATAGCGGGAGCTTATTGCACCGGGCTGCCCTTTTAACAATTATGTACTACCGATACTGCTTAACCCTGCCAGCCGAATGCCCCTGTCTTGGATTTTATGAAATAACAAGTCGACCTTTCAAAAAGAGAATTTTATTGCAGTTTGTGAAGTTACTTCTCATTTGTATAAACTATATGACATAGTATGATATACCTAATCCACGTTTTCCACTTCAGAATCGCGTTTTCATCTTTATTGCTAGAGACTGGAAGTTTGCTTACCGATCAGGAACAAAAATGTAGAGACAGTTAGAGTTCCAGTTAGTATCAAGGAGTTGTATATGGGGATCGGGTTGTGTGTATCAGATCAGGAACAAAAATGTAGAGACAGTTAGAGTTCCAGTTAGTATCAAGGAGTTGTATATGGGGATCGGGTTGTGTGTATCAGATCAGGAACAAAAATGTAGAGACAGTTAGAGTTCCAGTTAGTATCAAGGAGTTGTATATGGGGATCGGGTTGTGTGTATCAGATCAGGAACAAAAATGTAGAGACAGTTAGAGTTCCAGTTAGTATCAAGGAGTTGTATATGGGGATCGGGTTGTGTGTATCAGATCAGGAACAAAAATGTAGAGACAGTTAGAGTTCCAGTTAGTATCAAGGAGTTGTATATGGGGATCGGGTTGTGTGTATCAGATCAGGAACAAAAATGTAGAGACAGTTAGAGTTCCAGTTAGTATCAAGGAGTTGTATATGGGGATCGGGTTGTGTGTATCAGATTGTAGTTTAAGTCCTATTCTCACTCTTCTTTTTGGCTTTCTAATTGCTAAATTATCGGATCAAAGCAGTCAAATTTCCAGGTATTTACTGTGGGTGAATGGGTTTGTCATGTAGCAGACATAAGTTCATGGTTGTATCGTTGGCTTATCATGTTGATTCTTTGTGTTGCTTGGTACTAGTTTCCACTTACTGCTAAGTCTCAGGTCATCTGATAACATATGCTTTATACACTTGTAAGTTTCTGTGGTTGAATATCATCTGTTTTGGATTATAGTTAAGGGTAAATCGATGCTATCATTAACTTATGATTACCTGTCTGATCAGTGGAAGTTCATGTATATCATTGCCATTTTGCTCTAGTTAATAAATTTAAAGGCTTCCAGTAAATTGATTCTTCATTGGCTGTTACCTCAATGTGTCTGTCTATGCCACTTGGTAGCACCTGAGTTAGAAACTAGTTTCTAAATCATCTTAGCGTGGTCTGCTAATGAATGTCTGTGTGGTTCATATCCAAAAAGGAAAGGATTAAGGCCCAAGGTTGCTCGATTCTTCTGTAACTGTTACACTAAATTCTAGTTAATTAGCAGCAGCAAATTGTTAAGCCGTGTATAGGAGAATAAATTACTGACAAGAAAAATAATATGGATAAGGAGTAAATTAAATTTCTCTGCGGAGAGTTTTATTGCATATCTGACAGTGTCTTAAACGTATTTTCCCCACCTCTTTGCTTGTTTTTGTGCTTATTAAGGTTTTGAAATAGGAGAGACAAGTAAGGAGCTTTTTAATCAGTTTGTAATTTCAAGACAGCAGAGGGAGATTAACGGTTGAGCTAGTATATTTTATTTTGTAATGTTCCCAGCAAGTAGTGGAGTCTGTGAATCTTGTTGCTGATCAATTGGCTGTAGCAATTTGCTATATCTGTGGACAATTGCATCCATCTAGACTTCAATGTTATACATACTGGGTGTTTCAAGATCATTGTTTCCTCTTACTGATTTGGTTGTTATTTTGCAGTGATGAAGAACCCTGCTAACTTGGCCAAGCATCAGGCAAATCCTAAAGTTGCTCCCATTATTGCGAAAATGATGAGCAAATTTGCTGGAAGTAACTGAGAGTTTTTGGGCTTCTGTCAGTGAGAGTTTCTAGATTTCGGTATGGAGGTGTGATTTTGTTGTAAACTTGGTTTCATCGAGTACGCAGTGGGTCATGACCCTAGATTGTGTTCACTGCAAGTTTAGGTTCACAATAGATCTTGTGCATTATTGATAGAAAGAAATTGATATGCTTTTATAGGCTCAGAATTGCTAACTTTAGTCACTTGACTTGTTGCTAACGGTCAACTTCAATTCTTCATGCTGGTGTGGTAATTTTTTTTTTTGGTAAGAGGGCAAGCCCGCCAGCTGCTACAACCTTTGCCACAGCCTCTGCCCTTCGGGTGAGCACTTTGTGCGCACTGGATAAACCTCCCTTGTGTAATAGCCTGCAAACCACACAGGGATGTAAACCGCACTAGGCAAGCCCTGTGCGACAGGCTCAACCCAGAAGGCATTGAGGAGGGAATCGATCCTAGGTCATCCGTATGGATGACCGCCCTCCAAACCAACTGGGCAACCCCGAAGTGGAACGAACCGACCTACTCACGAACGTCAGCGGCACCGAATAGCCCGTGCGGCGCTTGCAGTCACCCCTCTAGCATGATCCTGTGCCTGTGGTGGAGCTTGCCTATGAGGCTCGCTCCAACTGTGCCACCCGTCTGATGTCAAGGCTCTTGGCCTCGACTAATTGTGGCGCATCGCATCTGGTGGATCTCATCCATGCGCACAACCGGTCTTTTATTGATTTCATGTTTTATTCTCCGTTTATTGTTGTTCGTTCTATTGAGAGGGTGTTTAATTTTACATACTAGTACTATTTCATATGTACTAACGTCCTTTTTGCCGGGGGCGCATCATGTGTGTGGTATTTTGCTATACAGTATCTCAGATGTTTTCAGTATGGATCTTTAGTTGTGTAATTGTTGCTAGTACAGTAATTGCTGATGTAACGGTCAGCTGTCGGGATGGAACTTCTTGATCAAGTAGGTGAGGGAGAATAGCTAGGTATTGGAGTGATACTTGATGAACGCTTTAGTATGTGGTGTCGTGGAAAAGCATGCACGTGAATTTTCTTCCATTGTTGATCTGGTATACTCTGGTGTGTACGCATCTACAGCAGATGTGATTGTAGGGTTTAGTGTTGTCAGCGCAGTGTGGTCTACTTTATGTACGTACACATTAATTGTTTTTCGATGCATGTTTATGTCCTGAGTTACAAGTAGTTGGTTAAATTGAACATGATGTGAAACTTTAGATCCTTCGTCTCAAAGGTCAGCTTATTTACTCGTCCAGTAAGATATTCTGTTTTAGGTCACTTGTAGAGTAGCTGGAAAGGATCATAAGATAAATTACTATCAAGCTGATTGTGAAAGCTTTGAACTATGAAGATTTCAAGCTTGCAGGTAACCTAATGGTCTTAGTTTTCCAAGTAGAGGATTGGACTACAATAATTCTTTATCATGGATTTTATTTTGAAAATTTGAGAAATCGATATATAAAATAACGTTGGAAAATATCTGATATCGTCTGTTTTTCTATATCTGTAATGCACGTTTGTTTGAAAGACCAGACAGTAATTAGTTAGGCGAAACATCAGGAGGATCAACTGTCGTCGCCAACAAAAGTAAGATTTTGGTGTACTTTCTTTCAACTGCCAAATTTCAAGGGGAGAGTGAGACTGATCATCAACCAATCTACAAAGGTAAAGTTAGACTCGCATTTTCCATGGAAGTTCTAGTTATTCTACCTGCCCATGACCTAAAACCTAGGTTTCCAGTACTTGGTTTATTTCATTTTATACGATAGCGTTTGATTGAATATAAAGTAGGAGAAAAATATTTAGTTAATAAATTTAGTTGTACAAAAGTGTCTTTAGTGTTTAGGTGGTGTTTCATATTGTCATGAATTTTTTTATAAGAGTCATCAAGGTATTGTACATGTTAAGAATTAAAATGGTCTTTAACTATTGAAAAACATTAGTTTCATAAACTGCTGTAAATTATTATGGAGGAAGTATCTGATATTCTGATTAGAAACTTTGGAATTTGCACTTCATATGGCTTAAACTGAGTAAAATCTAAATTGAGATCCAAAGACAACTTGTAGGCCAAAGAGGAAAGTGGAATTTTTTTTTTTATGACGAATCGATAAAGTTCCAGTGGCTTTGAATAATGGGTGAAACCTGACCAACACAAGTCACTTCCTAATTCCTATGATTCCTTCACCAACATTTTCAGTGTCTCGTCATTGGTTCACTAATTATAAACTTGACTTTTTAGAAAGCCTGTATTTACTCTGACCTTTACTTGAAAACTCTTGAAGTGGGCTAAAACTCCCCAAAAGAAAAAGAACCAAAAGGATAAAAATAACATAATTTTTAGCATATGTTATTACGTTGTTAAGACTTAATGAGTGTTTTATTTGGTTTAATGATGTGTGCATTACATACAAATGACATCATTAACTTTAGTTGTTAATGTTACTTTTGCTTGATTCTTTATTCTAGTATAGTGGAATTCCAATATAATTGGAAATTAATATATACCTCCACGTTTTACATTTGCAATGTGTTAGCTAATGTGTCGCTTTAATTAAGATGGTGCTTAAACCATAATGATGTAATTGTTTCCTGTATATTACTTGCATTAATAACACTAATCACGGTCCTAATTTGTTTTCCGTTTTCCCTTCGGTCGAGGGTGTGTGAATAACATGAATTTCAAGACTAAGGAATAGTGAAATCTGAACAGAAAACAATTGTCTGGACGATGTCATTATGCTGATCATGAACTTACAACTTATACAGTAATGACAGCACTTAGAACTAGAAATCTTTTAAACTAGAAAGCTCCAACTTTTTAAGCAATTCCACTTTTGTGCACTTTCCTTTTCTTCTCTGTATATTGGTAGGCCAACATAAAAATATGTCCTAACAACGATGCAAAAGAACTAGAAAATTGCTATAGGTGGCAAACTCAATCCAGCCAAAATTTAAACAGGTTGATTCATATTCTATTTGTTGGCTTGACCCGATGGATTGAACTCAAACTGACCTATTAAACTATTTGAGTCATACTGGGCAATATAGTATAACCTAGGGGGGTCAAATGGGTGGGTGAGCTGATTTTGGACGGGTCATAATAGACTGAGTAAATAAATGGGCAGGTCATTAACCCACCCAAAAGTCACTTGTGCTGAGATGAGACGGGTCAAAATAGGTTAAAATTTGGGTCATAACCCAATCTATCCAACTCTTATCAAACTATAATTAATGTGTATTGTTTTCTTATGAATTATTTAATTATCAAATAAGCCTTTTTTTTTTCTTTTGTTATGGTCATATATAATATATCAAACAAAAAATAATTATTTTAAAAATATTTTAACAAAGTTACTTATGGAAAAATTTGGACTAAAAATTAGCCTAACTTTAAATGGAATGAGATGAGTTGGATCAAAATGGGTTGAGTTCATCAAATGGACAAGTCAATAACCGGCCCAACCTTGGGCGGGTTGGGCGGATTAATGACTTTGGGCTCAAATTGCCACCCCTAATATAACCTAATTGGTCAAAATGCAACCTAAACCTCGACATTCAATATCAAATTTGGAGATTGAGAATTAAAGTTGCATGTAATCTTGTAAGAACTTAAATTTGTATTTTAGAAAAGTACATTAACTTTCACATTCTTTCTCAAAAAAGGCAAAAATAAAAAGGAAATGTTGGATCATGTTGCGTAGAGAGCAGTGACGGAGCCAGAACTTTCCCTAACGGGTGTCAAAATATAAATAAGTAAGCATATGAAAAAATTAAGGGAAATCAATATATAGTATATATACATAAAATTAAAATATTTAACCTATCTACACGTTATAATTTCCAGATTAAGGGGTGTCAATTGACTCCCCTTGCCAATGAGTGGCTCCGCCATCGATAGAGAGTGGATGATAACTACAAATTTTAGATTGGTCTGGTCATAACCCGTTTAATTTAATAATTTGATCTGTTTTGACCTGCTTAAGTTTGACCTTACCTGCCCATGCCACCTCTTGTTGCCAAATGGGGTCATCACTAAGTTATTTCAGTCCTAAGTTCAAATAAATTTTGCTTAATGTTTCCTTTGTACTCATGATCTATATATCCAACTTCCAAGAACTCCTATGTAATATTTTCAAATTTTTATGACATTTGCCATGACATAATATCCATTATAACAAATTTATGGTTCATGATATTTGCCATGACATAATATCCATTATAACAAATTTGTGGATCATGACATTTGCCATGATATAATATCTATTATTAAGCCAAGGTGGAAATTTGTAAAAGGTGGCCTTATTTTTAGGCTTTTTATTTGTGAGCCTTGTTGGCACATTTGGAGCCTTTTATTTAAGGCCTTGTTGGCCAAATAAATGGCCTTGTATTTTGAGAGGATGTGATCAATTGTTGGCCAAACATTTTATTCTTCTCTTCCTATATAATGAGGACTCTCTACTCATTTGAAAATACACCAACAAGACTTCTTCATTTCTTGTTTCTTCCTTTCTTTCTTTATTAAGAGTATTTTGTATGAGATTTAGTGTTGTGAAGCACTTGTGTGAACCCTTTTTTTTGGAGTGATCTTGTGAGGTTATTCTCTTAGGGTATTTGGGATTAATTAGAGTGTTTACTCTAATTTTGTACTCTCTTTTGTACTCTTATTGTTATAGTAAATTATTCCTCTCCGCTTGTGGACGTAGGTCACTTTGACCGAACTATGTTAAATTTGTGTCTTTTTATCTACTTTAATTGTCGTTGTTATCAACTTCCATTGTCTTTATTATTACCATTATATCGTTATTTGGTTATATTCCGCAATACCCGAATTCCCGATCCTAACATTCTATGTGGAGACAAATAAATTAATCTTGATGAGTTGGAGATTATGAGAACTAATACGTGTTTAATCTTTAGTACACTTGAATATTGTATTGTAAGATTGAAAGACTTATAGTAGGTGTATATGATGGTGACATATCCATCAGTTAACCTTCCTTATGGGGAAAGTATAGACGCCAAAATTACCAGATGCATGTACGATATACATCCATATCGGAAAACATCAAAACCAAGAAAAACATGGACAAATTTCTAAATTTTGAGTTCTGTAAGTTATCTACCATGCTTTTTTCGGATATTTTTTAATTTTCAAGAAGAGCTTTTCTTTAGCCATCTGTCTTCAACATGGCCTCACTTGAAGTCTCAATCTTGTGG